GGGGGGGGGGCATGGCCCCCTTGGCCCCCCCCCTGGGTACGCCACTGCAGACAATGAATAGTTTATCAGGACGGAGCTCCGTATGAATATGGATCAATTTGCTGCGGAGTTCCCCAAACCGCGTTTCCATTCATTTTTGTGCTGAGTCGATTGCCGATCCGCAGGTACCAGCAGGACAACAAACAGTACAAGGAGCCATGCCCCACGTGGCAGGAGCTCAACTCGTTTCGGGGCCGCAGATGCAACCAGTGACCACGGCTCAGCAAATCCAGCAGCATCTACAGCAGCCTCAACAAGCAGGAACTGCCGCAGGCTTACGGGTGAGATTCCATTTGAATCTAGCGTTCGAGTCATAATCTAATTGAAAACTCGATCTACGCATCGTACTTGGTCGGGAGAGGGACATAAATTAACCATCCTCCCGTTTTCTGCAGGTGGTGAAGGTGAGCGAGGATCTTCGAGGAACCGCGATCTCCGGGGACGATGCGATCTCGACGAGAATTTCCGCTCATTATTTTAATATCGATTTCAGATGCCCGGTCAAACCGATGGCGCGACCATGGACAGTTCGGACAGTGACGACTCATCTGACGAGGACAGAATAGGCGCGAATGATGACGATGACGGCGACGACCTCGACGAAGACGAAGATGATCAACAGGACAACGAGCTCGACGAGGAGCCCCTGAATTCTAACGATGACGTCAGCGATGAAGAGGTTCGTGACTTCCCGTGGGGACAGACCGAGTCGTCCCTGTCGCTTGATGAATCTCTTATTATACATAATTTTTAGTCGCTTCCCCGTCACTCAATGAATTCGATTTTCCAGTTGTCGGAGGCACAGGAGATTGACAACGTGGTCGTTTGCCAGTACGACAAAATTTCGAGAAGCCGTAACCGTTGGAAGTTCCATCTCAAAGACGGCATCATGAACATCCAGGGTAGAGATTACGTGTTCCAGAAGTCGACGGGAGATGCCGAATGGTAGATTCTGCGATTTGCCCCCGAGGATCTAAAACCTCATCGACGGCATTTCGTCGTTGATCGGACCTTAGGTATCGGCCGCCCTGGAGTACGCCGTAGGCTTGAGAAGCCGGAGAGCTGACGTGTCGCCGTTGAATCGCAGCAGAAGCGCGGCTCGATCGAGTATGGAGTTCGATATCACATCGATGTGATCCTCGGTAATTCTAATAAGGTACGAGCAGAGGATGCGTCGATTCAGAGATCGGGTGAGCAGTGTGTTCGGGTTCTTCAACATCGAAAAGGCGCAGGATCCGAGTCCAGGCCTTCTCCATCGATTACTCTGCTCACCATCAAGTTATCTTCACGATTCATTTAGTCCAAAAAAACAATCTTCATGGAACTCCATGATGTTGTACGTCTGAATATTTTTTACGATGCTCGAGTCGATCCGTGAATATAGGAGATCAAACTTTGACATAAACTAGCGACTGTTGCGAGCAGTGTTCGAGAGGAGGATGTGGCTGTCTGACAACATTGCTTTGTTATTCTCCGACGCTTCTACGAGATATGGTATCAGGAGATCGGACGACTGATATAATGATGATGTCGCCGTCGTCGCCTAAAGGGCCGGTTTCGATACCCGTGCGGGCTCAGAACGTTCTAGGGCGACGTAATTTTGAGAGATTGAGACTATATCGAGCCTTGGAATCAGAAGTTTCCATATGCACAATCACCGGAGAAGGGCTCTGGGATCAGCCACGCATCCAAATCGATATCTTGTATGATGATTACCAAGATCGACCCATTGTAATTGTTACCAATAAAATCGTTCACGCTTATTTATTGCGTGACTGTAGTTCAAGAGAGACTCTCGAGACTTGCGGAGGGGCGCCCCCGTGTTCTATCATCCCGAGCTGGGATAGTCGTGGGATATATCTGTCGATCGACACGTCCGCGTTTCCGAGAGGGAATCGAGCGGCACCTTTGCTCGACACGCGGGGATTCCTTCGGCGATAGTTTTTTTGGATTGGCGCATGATTATATTCCAGGAGCTGTCATATCACACTAAGGAGTCGCTACTTATTTTCCTCCTAATCAGGTACTCGGTGGTCACAGGTTCGTAGCGTCTCGGTCTTCTCTGGGGTGTCGCAGACGTTGATCTCCCAGAGGCGTACCCAGCTTCCTTTACGAGGGGGTCTCGAGTCTCGAGCGATCACCATTGGGCCGTACTCTTCTGTTCAAATCCCCCATATACGCTACTGTGGCTAGGCTTTTACCTACCCTCCCGGTATGCCGAAAACGGGGTCCAAGGGTCTCTCCAAGTCTCTCATTTCCATGAGACCAAGGGGGATACTCGGAGCGTGTCCTAGGCCGGCGATCCACGGTACGCCGCAGGAGCCGCGGCGATCGACGAAACTTCTTTCATTTCAAGCGGCTCTTCGATCCTTTCCCCAGTTTCTCCGGAGCTCGATCACAGGGATCGCTGTCTCCGCGAGAGGTAGCTTCTGCATAACTCGACGCTGCGTCCCAGGTTATTCCTCTTTGCGGACGAGATTAGCGAGATATCATCGGAGGGCGAACGTGACTGACGCGCGAACACGCGACGTCGAATCGTCTGAATCACGTCGCCGTGACCTATGGCGATCTCCGTGACAAAGTGAGCGCTTCTGCTCGCAATGCACGGTGCCTCGGAGAAGTAGGTAAATAAAAACTCAGTCGCGAGGAGCCTTGCTCGACAGCTCCGGAAACAGTTCTCTCGGTATGGGATCGTCAAGGGAGGAAGAACAGGAATCGAGACCACGAAGCTTTTCTCCCCCGAATCTATGATTGACTCCTCGTGTGGAATTATCCAATTCACCGACACTCACAGCCCCTCCCTCCAGTCGCTGCAATTACATTCTGTCGCGCACTCCGGGTCCTTGAGGAAAATCCCATTCAGCATTCCTTCCGAATATTGGAAGGGCTCCCCCGCGCTGGTCGCTCACCGAGCTCAAAGTTCAATCGAGGCGCGTAATGGAGTTTCCGGGAGAGAAATTCTGCAGCTCCCGATCAAAGAGACGGCGTTTTCGTCGATGCGATTATATAAACGAGATTCGAGCCCGTCGCAAAGTGATGGGAGATTCCCGCGATAGAGCGCTCTTATACAGTCTGTTAGGGAAGTCCTTAGACGCCGTTCGTCCGAGAGCACCTGTTTTGCAAGATAAGCTTGCGAAAGCTCGGGAAAAACCTGCCTCGCAGAAATCTCGTTGGGCCAGACGGTCGGACCCGGCTCGCAACGGTGAGCGCCGAGGGTTAAACTTCGACGTCAACCTTCTTCTATTCGGCCAGCAGCGATCGATTCGTCCTTTCTTGGTCAAATGCTACCTCTTGCACGGGACCTTCCGTGACGATTCGTTGTGTCCCGGAAGCGGCATCCAGTCCGTTTGGCAAATCCGTCCAGTCGGATCTCTTATGTTAGATTTTTAGAAGTGCGAGCTTCAATTTCAGCAGGTAAGTAGGTCACAATGATGACCTAATGATATAGACCAGCGATTCTCAAACTTTTTTCTCCTACGTCTCCCTTCTGCCCCTTGGGGAGCGCTCGCGTCTCCCCCGAGGGTCATCGAATATCTGAAAATATAGAGTTCCGACCGAGACATGCCACAGCGCCGTTTTAACCGTATATACGGCTTCATCCTCCAATTGTACAATGATTATAAGCTGTGAGTACAGTAGCAATGAGCTTGGTAAGCTTTCATAAACTTGAAATCAGGTCGGTCGGGAATTCTCGGAACCCTAAGCGTCTCCCCTAGATTCCAGGCGCGTCTCCCCCAGGAGACGCGTCCCCCTGGTTTGAGAAACGCTGATATAGACGAAGAACCCTCGGAAATCAAGTTTCGGAAGACAATAAATGGTTCCGATCCCCCTCCCCGGGAGCTCTCGGAGCATGGGAGCAGCGGTCTGGACGAGGGAAGCACCGGTTCCACGTGGGCCACCACTGCGTAAATGCTCCGAGGCGCATAAACAAACCTCCTCGTCTGAACGACTGAAGGCAGCTCTGGAGGTGACACTCATCGTGTTCTTCCCGAGGCTGGATCCGGACGCCGCCTGATGGCCGACCCAAGGTCTCGTGGAGGAGCTCCACTGGATCCGCCGTGGCACGGGAGCTACCGCCTGTATCGAGATCCCTCAGGACACTCGACTCCGAGACTCTGCACTTTTCGAGCTCAGTGGGATTGACTCGAGGGGAAAGCAATCGAGGCTAAATGCAATCGAAGACTTCACGGCAGGTCGTTCGGTCTTTGCTCGGGTCCCAAGTTGTCATTGGAGATCACGGAAGCCTTTCTCGGAGTTCCTTGCGCTCGCTCTGGCTGAAATATGTTCCGATCTTGTCGCCCCCGCGTCTGCCCCTGCTGTTCTAGTTCAACATGACCCTTTCACTGACTCATGGCATCATTTCCCCCGGTTTCAGAACTTCTCCATGGTTATAATTCATAGACGTGTTTTGAGAGTTCAGTCGGAACTCAAATTCCCAATCATTTTAAGTCATCTCGGTGGTCGTTGGAGTGACTCTTCTGCATCCTATGGCGACTTGAATAATTCCAGGAGAACTCGATGCCATGCATATTTATCAAAGGTTTGTCGAGGGCTGGGTCCGAAATCTGAGAATTGAACTTGATCTCCACGCCCCCTGATTGCAGCTCGTCGAACTCGAAAGAATAGAGCCATATCCAATTTCCTCCGACCATTATCAGGGCAGACGAAACTCGTTTTCGTTCTTATCCCGTGCTAGATGTCTTAGAGAGGACCAACGTTTGCGAGAGAGCGGTGCCATCGCTCTACTGCGGCTCCCCTGCGACCGCGTCTGGTGAGTTCCGCGTGAACAGTGACACTGGCAGCGGCGGAATCATTAGTTCATTAATGTGAAAGCCTCATGCCGACGTGACCACGACCAAACCCTGAGTTACGTTGGTATAGAAACGATGTCACTCGCTGCTGGTGCTGTAATGCTGCTCATCCGTGGAAATATCCCCATTACTTGAATGACCTGCAGAGATTTTTGATATCGCCAGAATCATTCAGATGGATCCAGCATTAGTATCACCATCACTCCTCACTCGGAGCTCGAGCATTGCATTGACTCCGTGAGGCATCCAATTGTTTCTCCTTCCCTGGAGGCTACGTTTTCCCCTTTGTCCGTAGTCGGAGAATCTTTGTCAAGGAAACGAGAACTCAATTTCCGACTGCGGCAGGGAGCTACATAGATATGTGAATGCGTTCCGCCCAGGACGTGGAGGGAAGAGGCTCCGAATGATTGGAAACTCCACACAGCGCCGTCCCGGATAATTCGAGAGGCTTTCGAAACTCGAGCTGATACGGAATGCGTCCAAGATACGGAATTCCTGGAGCGCTAGGTCATCCCGACCGACCACTCTTGCGGAGACTGCCTCCAGACTAGTAACGGCTCCTGACTCTAGAAGATGAAGCTCTCGATGGTCCCAGCTGAAGCCAGCAACTGTAAGAGATGCCGATGGAACGACACTCGGAAGCGGGGAAACCACTTGACAGGCATCGAGAGGACTCGCGAAAGCAACCTCGATACTCGATATGCTCATGTATCGCGGAAGGGCGAGAGTAGCCGCTGTTGAGGGACTTATTCCCATCGATAGCCTAGAGTCCGAGCGTCTCTCCCGGAATTCTTCTGCAGTCGAATCCGCACCGATTTTGAGACATGTCGGAGAACGGCACTCAGCGCACCCGGAAGGCACTTTCCGGTATCTCTCGATGTTTTCGAAGAATCATCAGATTACATATTCCAGGGGCTTAGGAAGGCATTCGACGTTCGCTCCGACGAGTGAGCAGAGTCGATCTCCGTGAGCACTCATATCTCCACCTGACGAATATCACAGAATAATTCCAAGATTCGCAGTTGAAGTAGATGTCTGTATGCAATCAGCGCATTCTCGGCGTTTCTACCATGAGTGCCGGCTGGTCGCTGCACAGGCCCCCGGAAGTCACGGATCCATTCCGTGCACAACCGAAACGCGTCACGGTATCCGTATGAGTGCTAAGCCTAAGTCGGTCCGGAGGAAATGTCGTCAGAGAGGACTGACGCTCGGAAATTCCGAGGCTGAGAAATTCATTATCACAAAGTCCGTCGTTTTGGAGACTCTCAGAATTCCACCCGTTGATATATCCACAGATATCCAGCCCGTCAGGGATAATTCCATTCAAAGCATCCATTTAATCCGGAGGCGTCATCATTTTCAGCTTCACATCGGGTGCAATATCGTAATCCAAAGCAGATAAACGCGGACGAGCATTTCCAAAACCCTTTTTCCGCACCAAAGCACAGGATTCCTGCATGGGTGTTCGCTCTTGAGCAACGACGCGATTAGCCGAGAGAAGATCGGACGCGAAATGAGACAGACGCTACTGCGAAGAGGAACTACTGTAAGGAGTCTAACGACGAGAAAAATCAGCTAGAAATGTCGACAGCCCGAAAAAGAGCTCTCTGTTTGCGAACGATAGCCCGGCAACGCGTCATTCCCCGTCGCTTGGAAGAAGAACGGAATGTCGAGAGAAAACCCGAGCTTGGGAGCGCACGCACAATTCTAAACGCCCGCTGGTGTCGGCAGCGTCGGGTATTCTTGTTCATGCTCTTCCGCCGAGTCCTCGCTGTCAGTCCTTGTTGAAGATGGCGGGGGGAAGGGCGAGAGGCCCGGATTTGCCAACGCCAGCCACTCGCGCAGCGCCGCTGAGCGAGTGAGCGAGAGACGAGTATGCCGCCGAGCGGTGAGCGAGCGAGGGGGAGAGAGAGACTCAGTCAGTCAGTGCCCGGGATGCGGCGGCAGCGGCAGCCGCACCGAGCATGGGAAAATGGGAGAGGGTATGCCGTGCCGCTGCGGCGGTGGCGGCGGCCTGTGGGTAGAGACGGCAGCGAGTCAGCAGCCGGCGTCCTTCGAAGCAGCCATTCCCTCGCCGAGTATCCTCTCCGATTACCCTTTCGGCGGGCGGGAGCCAAGCGCGCGAATCTCGCGCGATCCAGCGAGAATGGTGGGTATGTGACGCGCCTGATTCTCTAGATGAACGAGCGACGTAGCGAACCGCAGAGTTGATAGCGCCAACACCCGGAGAGGTTGCGCCAGACAGTGTTGGCTCAGTACCGTTTCCAACCGGATCTGTTGCCTCGACTCAACCAATAATTCATCCATCTAGCATCTATTATTGTGCGCTGTGACAAGTTCTACAACTCTGAATGAGAGTTCTCCCATGACGACTACACGTCCCTAACTGCAAGGAAAAGCCAAAGCAGCAGCAGCAGCAGCAACCTGAGCGACGATAACAGCAGCAACGACAGCAACGACGACGACGAAACAACAGACAGCTGAAGTTTGTTGTTGTGGTGGTGACGGTGGCTAAAAGTGTGTTTATTGTGCTTCTATGTTGAGTTTCCCTCCTTGATTAGTTGGAAAGGAGAAGAGAGCCCAGAGGAGATAGCTCTTGACTGCTTTGTCGCCGATCGCCGCCTCCGACGGCGCTTCCCCCGTATTAGTGATTGTGGCTGCAGTCGTCGCCATCATCATCAACGCTAGCTGCATTGACAACTGCATCGACAGAAATTGTTCCGTCTGTTTTACCAGCAACCATCCAGCAACTGCTACGTCCGCTACGACGACGGAGGCAGCAGCCGCTGCGGCAGCAGCAGCCCACAAGGATTAGTGCGTTTCAAATTGTGTTCAGTGATTGTCGGTCTTCGGGCAACGGCCCAATCTAGCAACTCGTTTGTGTATTGTGCGCTCTTGTATATAGATTCAGTCGTCGACGCCGCGCACGTCGATGACGGAGAAGTTCTACGACGAGAAAGTTCAACAGCAGCGAAATCCCAAAATTTAGGCTTACTACGAGCTCGTTCGTTGTAAGCCGCATTCACCATTCACCAGTCACTGAAGTCGAACTGGTCGATTGCAACAACGTCTGGCATCACGTTCGCAAAAGCATACTCTGAGCGAAAATCGAAGTTTGTGTTCCGCGAGAGAAGAAACTTTCTCGGAGGCAGCCGAATAGGCCGCCGTCCCAGCTTCAGAGATGGACAGAAGCCCTGCCGGCAGTTAGACTCTGGTGTGTTGGATTCTTCTCAACCGTTCTACGACGAACGGGGAAATTGTGTGTGTTAGCGGTGTTAAGGTGCAAAAGTGGATCGAGTGCAGCGAGTGTAAAGGCGTTTCGGCAACACCGAGGGTCCCCTCAGTGGACTCGGTGCTGCTGGCGCGGGAGGGACGAACGAGGATTTCCAGTGAAATCAACGGAACCATTTCACACCAGAGCACGGCCGGGCGGCATCGACAGTGTGCTAGCAACGGCATCTCGTTTCTCGGAGTCAACATATCGCGCCATGATTATTGGCCATGCTTGAAGAGCTTCAGGACTGGCTCTCGCTGCTGTTGACTTCTGACCATGGTTAGAGAAACCAGGCATCTCTGGGTCGGTAACCTTCCCGACAAAATCCGAGAAGATCACATACGGGACCACTTCAAACGGTAGGCATCGAGAGCAGCCCGCTCGAGACAGAAGCTGCTCAAGGGCAGCTTCCGAACGGGTGTTCTGTCAAATTAGTTCTCTATCTGCTACACTATAGACCTCACTTGGGCCGTTTCACTTGGTGCCGACTTCGTCTTCACGCGTCGAAGACCACCCCTAAAATACTCGAGAAATTCACAAAGATTCGGAGAATAATGTCTCACGAAATATCGTATCTCTCCCTGATGTACGAAGTCGTCATACCAAGTGAGAGGCATAATCATTCCTCGTCTTCTTATCGTTCTCGAACCTTTCGACCAATCTTTCGTGATTCTCACCTCAATCCTCGAGATCGACCTCTCACTAAACTAACGCTAAACACATCTAAGAAATATATCGCACCACACGTTCACGAGCCATCTCCACAGGCTACGTTTAAGCTTTAGTCTCATAACATGAGGTTCCTGGATGGATACTGCCTACAAGACTTCATTTTGCTCCCAATCCCCCTGGATAAGTTTGGGTCATTGTTGTTGTTATTGTGGCTGGATCGGATATACTAAATGGATACGTTCTGTTCTTCCTGATGTTGTGTGCACTATGGATATCTACCAAGCAGCAGGCCATCTCATCATCGAATTTCACTCGTTCGTGTCTCGTTCCGTGCGATTTCCTCAGGAGCGTTCGATCAAAGTTTCGTACGGAGCTCGCAAAGGATTCGGTCGTCAGCAAAAATGTGCCCGAGTGATTGATTGATTCATAGCTCGATCGACTGATGGGTCGATTCCTCGATGGATGTCTGAGGCTCCTGGAATGTTCTTCATCAGTGACGGTAACGACAGAGGAAGCACCGTACCAGCGTCACCAACCAAGACGGAAACGACGGCAGAGAAAACAACGACGATCACGGCGAAGTGAAGTTCGATGTGAAGAATGTTCTCTGCGTGGTCTAAGTGTTCATATTTGGATATGCTATGGATACCCAGGTTGCCGTGGCCCAGTTTGCAGACTCCATGGCGGTGAGTCCTCATCTTCTGTTTCTCCCATTGTTCTGACTTCTTCAGTTGCTCCCACTAAGTTCCGCTAACCTCGATTCCATGTATTCACCTCAAGGATTACCCAATCTTTCGAAAAACAAAGCTTTTATTCCGCTGGTAAGAGACGGGGAAAACTCGGGACGCGTCGAGACTCACGGGTTCCTACGATTCAACAACGTCGAGTAATTTTCCCGAAGATGCTCAGAGAATGGAGGCTCGGAGTCGATTCCAAGTCTGATGACTGATGGGCCCGCTGAGATTCTCGTTGTCTAAATGGGGTTAGGAGCTTCCCTCAGGGAGAGCCCCTTTCTCTCCATCTTCCCTTGACACGTCAGTCGGCCGTCTCGCCCATGACCGAGTGCTACGTTGGGGAACTCTCACTCGGCTCATTCTGCGAGGTTGGAAGCTCTTGGAAGGCTTTCAGACCGCCATCGCTGGAGAGACTGAAAGACGAGGAATACATACTTCTATTCCGTTTCGCCTCTCGCCAGTTTCGCCAAACCTCTCCGAGTGTGGCCTGGCACGGAGCGATTCGCGAGCGGGCAGTGCGAGAGAGCAGTGGAATTTATGGCGCTGTTTGGCGTTTCCGTCTTCCTCCCTCCCGAAAGCGTTAGAGGAAGCCATCACCTGCGCATAAGACCGTAGAATCCACGGCCGCCGTGGAACTCCGCCAAAATCTTTGTGCACTTCGTCATCCACGAAATCACAGTCATGCTCCGAGGTCCCGATCTGACGACGGCATATCGGTGGGATATCTATCGAGACTCTTCCCGCGCGGCTCTCCTTCGGCTTTCTCCCTTAGGCGGAAACTCGTCCGGGGGATTTCGGGAGCACCAGCTGAGCAGCTCGATTGTTCACACGGTATCGCGCTTCCTCTTTCACGCAAAAAAACGTGGATCTTCACCGCATTCCCCCGCTCCCGAGTAATTCGCTCATATTTCGGTTGTTCCATCTGCAGTCCTCTTCTGCAACCGAGCAGGTTCTGTGCATCTTGCTATTCTGGCTCAGCAGAAATAGCGTGATGTCTGCGGTGTCAGTGAACCGGGCAGGGTAAGGGTGTGGTTAGATGGTAACTTGCCCGCCCGCCTGCCTGCCCGACCTGAGGATCTCGAAGCCGACGTGATATATGTTTATTCCCTATTTTCCATTCGTCATCCTCCTCGATCTACTTCTTGCTCCGAGGACGTATAGCTGTCAGGTGTTCGCCCCTCACGAGGCGACATTGGTTGACTCCCATCCATGACTACCGATGACGTCATTTTTTCTCGAATTGAGCAACGGACATTCATCTTCGTGCAATTATTCTTCTGATCGGTGGGCTCGATGGTAGCTCGGGTCCGTTGCTCCCTCATTAAGATAGGTACCAGTAAACTTGAATCATTTACATTGCGCCCAGCCGGCAAGAGCAGGGAAGCATTTAGGACGACGACAGATGTCCAGAAATTTTCGCGGAATTATCGGAAGGCATGTCGTGGAGCAGGAGGAGCGAGAAAGTTTCGAGACTTCCACATTGTTACGCAGCGATTGATTGATCCATCGATCACCTCCCTAACCGCTGCAGAAGAAAGCCGCAATTCCGTTCATGGAAGGTTTTTTTCCATCCTATCCTGACCCACCGTTAACTCTGTTTGTATATTTTCCGCTGACAGCCTTCGTATCGGGACGTCGGGACCATGATTCCTTCCACGTACAGCATTCGTCCGGCAATGATCTTCAGATTGCGGAGCTGCGTTTTCCTCCTATACGATTTCTCCGAAGTTTCTGTCTTCAGAGGGAAAAGGAAATGATCCTACAATGGCCCGAGCAGAGCGAGAGAGGACCATGGGCCAATGGGTGAGGATTTTCAATATGCTTTTGGGTGTCCCAGTTTCTCGTATTGTTTCGCTTCTGCACGGATTCGCTGACACCCGAGTCCCTTCAGCGAATTTTCGATCGCTTGCGGAGTGGCGAATCGATCTTCGGTGCCGCTAGACAATCCTTATATGGACAGCCAACCTTTTTTCGAGCGAAAATACTGATTCCCGCTCGTGAATTATTGCCTGAACGTGCTCGCGCTAGAAGCTATATTTTCTCGGGATTTGTTTCTCGATACAGAGAAGATTCGAACCTCAACGTGGTCGATAGCGACAACAAGAGGGGTGGAGCAGGCCAGAATGGTCCGAGCCCGCCAAAAACCTTCTCGCCCCGCGAGCTCGGACTCTTTGTTAGAGCCCCAGGTATTCTTTCTCTTGACGAGCCCATCGCGATGTCCGGGTCCACATAGAGAAGCCACGGGAAAGCTTCGAGGCCAAGCGCGTCCGCTCGAGCCATTGTGAACAAGCGAGGCTGCGGCTCCTCGTCGAAAAACGCGAGAGACAGCGCGTGTCGAGTCTTCCAGCTTCTCTCGGGATTCCGCTCCCTCGGTCAGTCGAGGTTCCATGCAAGACTTCATCTCCATGCGCTGCATAGAGAAAGTCTCAGATCAATCAAGGCCTCGCTGTATTATTAGCAACAGCGACTTTTTCGCCTATGAATTCAGAACACTCATGGGAGGTGAATGGTGAAGTTCGAGCTCGACCTGGGCGCGCTGTCTTATTATCGATTCAATTAACATCGATGCGAGAGAGGGAAAGGATCACGCTGACCGCGTGCCGAAGGAATCGAAAAGGTTCTGGAAGTCCATCGCTTTGGCGATCGTCGAGTCCTCACCATCTGAGTGAGGGGCTTTCGACGAATTTCATTCCAGGATTCGTCATCGGATCTCTCATTCGACAAATTCCCTCGGAAGAGGAACTTCTCTAATTTCCTATCCATCACGACCAATCAAGCGCGGCGGGAGTTTCGTATGCTATGGCCTGTCGCCACAAGGAACGTGCCTGGTGTTCGCCCTCTTCCGGACGCCAGCCGGAGCCATGACGTGGCGTAGGCGAAGGTATTTTCCCGGTCTTTGCACGAGCACGATCACAACAGTCCGAGAGAAATAAGGTCCATAATGCGAGTGTTCGCGAGCGCTCCATTTGTTCTTCGGGACACGTTCGTCGTACATATCTATATCCGCATCGGATCCTCTACGCGGAGATAGTGCGGGTCGCGGCCGATCTCTTCATCTTACCCGCGCGATCGAAACGACGAGCTGCTGCAGCTGATGATCGTCATCCATAGCACCATCCGAGCTACCGAGCGACGCGCGTCGCTCCTGTGTTTTGCCTATAACAGTTTTCCGGGCAGATGAGTCATCTCCCGCTTCGATTCTGAACTTCCATCTTCCTTGGGATTTCATCCGGAGCGAGAGCGGTGGAAATTTCGTTCTCCGCCTCTCTGGCCGTGCGGGAGATGAATGCTCAGGAACAACGCACGTGTTTAAGCTCGCAGCTCTTTTCCATCAAACTCTGTTGGCTCTATCTCTCTGCCGAGACAGTTGGCAAGAGTCCACAAAGCATTAGAGCTATCACAAGTATTCTCCGTGAGACCAGATGCGGACAATCTCTGCAAGGCGATTTCCCTCTCGACCTCGAGACCGTGAAATCATGTTATCAGCTCGGATAACGTGCTTTCGACGGAACCGCAGTGCTGGCGGTGAATGAACTACGGAAGCTCCGAGATGGAAAATCGGCCTAACCTTGGGCATGTGACCCAAATTGACCGAGGCCCTATATCATCACCGCGAAAGGAGCAAGCTATTCGTACCGAGATGGAAATCAGGGGAAACACGAAGGTTTCCCGCGGCTAATGCTGCTCTAGATCGCTTTGATTCCGTTTGCGGGCAGCGATTTTCCGACAAGATCTCATTCGTATCGCACTGACGAGTGGGAGAGGGCAGCCGTGGATTACGTGCTATCCGTAATTCGGACGATAAGCAGCAACAGCAATAGATCATCGGCGGAGGTACACGTTGTACTGAAGGTCGAATGCTGCCAGAAAAGTGCATTATTTGAGAGTCTTTCAGAACTCTTTCAAAAGCTCGCCAAAGCGGCACAATCTATCAGAGTTATGCGCTGTCGATC